AATCAATAAAAACATATTCTTGAGTGTTTAAAAAAAGGAAAAGAAAAGGAAGTCAACTACATCAACTTAAAGAAAATATTTAAGGTAGTAGAAAGGAGGTATGTATATGGCAAACAGTAAACAGGTGCATGAATAACAATATTTAGGAAACTTGGCCAAGGCGCTACTCATCCCTGTAGCCTGTGTGAATTATTAGCAGAAGGAGTTGGATCAGCACCTTGGAGAGCACACGTGCTGGGTCTGGGAGGGGCCCCAGCCCCAGCCGCAGCCGCATCCTCGTGGCCTCCTTAGTGACAGTCGGGCTCTCAAACACGAAAGCAGAAGGCTAGGGATTTGTTTTCACCTCTCAGGTTCTGATTTTAGTGCTTCTTAGATGCATATAGAGCAGTGGTTCTCAACCTTGGCTGCACATTAGAATCACCTGGGAATCTTTTTAAAATCCTGATTTCTGGGCCTCATCCTCCAGAAATTCTGCTTCTTTGTTACTAATGTTGTGGCCCCACCACCATAACAAAGAAACAGAATTTCCGGAGGATGAGGCCCAGAAATCAGGATTTTAAAAAGATTCCCAGGTGATTCTAATGTGCAGACAGGGTTGAGAACCACTGATATAGAGTAACAGACCTGGATGGGACTTTTTGAAATGATAAATGTAATATGTGAGCCCCAGCTTCTAAAGGCTTTCCACTTTTTTCTTTTCCTTTCATACACTAACTTCCTATTTGATTTACCCCCAGCTTAAGCTGTGCTTCAGGAAAAGCAGCACTAGCACCTGGAACGTTCCATGATTTGAACCAAGGAAATGTCACTGGGAGGAGGAGCTTGAAGTCCTCTGCGTGTGGGTGTGATAGATGGGGAGTTTTAAAGGGGAAAGCAGAAGGTCTCTTGTGTCCCCAAGAAAAACTCCAACAGCAGCTGAAAAGCAGAGAGTGTAGCTGAGAGATTAGCTGCTACGTGGAAGGGGTGTTACTATAGGTCACGGGTGGCAGCGGGAAAGCCGCGAGGAGCTTCTGCAGCAGCCCAGTGGAGTACACGGTTAGCGTAGGTCGCATGGGGAGCGTGGAGAGAAGTGTCAGTGCACGACGTGCTCTGGGGAAGCAGGTGCTGGGACTCACCAGCTGACTCACAGCTGGTGTACGAGCAGGGTGAGGGCAACTCCAGGATAACTCATATCTTACTTAGGCTACAGAGATGGGAAAGAAACTTGTATTCTTTGCACACCCAAGTTCATGGTATGAGATTTATACTAGACATATCTGTGGCACACAAAGGGCTTAAAAGGCTCAACGCAACACTAAACAAGTCATGAATACTTATAATACCATCTCAGGTTCAGTAAAACAGTCTCTCCAGGCATCTATAAAAGCATTCAGAACCACTCTACGAGGCCCAGGGTCATCCTTCAACTGTGCTGCTATGTGAAAGGCACTGTCTCCATTCTTGGATGCAAGAGTGATCTTTTCCAAAAGGCAAATCTGATTGTGTCACTTCTCTGCTTAAAATCTTTCAGAGGCTCCCCACTGCGCTGTGAGTAAAATCCAAACTCCCAACCACAGCTCATAAGGCTATGCATGACCAGGCCCTGCCCATCTCTTCAACCTCACATCCTACTACCTCCCTCCTTCATGACATTTTGGCCCCAACTCCTTCTGATGGTACCTAAAATGTACCAAGCCCTCCCTACCCCAGGGCCTTTGCACATGCTGTTCTCTCCTAGCTCTTTGAATGTTTAGCTTGTTCATTCTCATCCTCAGGTCTCAGTTTGTATGTCACCTTCTCAGCCTTTTTAGTAATTTTTTCCTGGAGCAGGTACAACCACCAAACCACACTGTACCTTGCCAAAGCTGCCTTTCCCAAGCACCATCAGGAAGTTAAAATCACTCAGCTTCATCCGGTCCCTGTTCCCATTGTTGTCAAATTTGGCTATGGTGTTGGTAGTTTTTTCTTCTGGAGTCTTGGGTGTCTGGCCGATCTTGGCCCTCTGGAGGGGGAAACACAAGACACATCATTAAAAAGCCAAGTCATAAACTGGGGGGAAAAAAAGACACATCATTAAGGTTTGACGATGCCTTTGTAGGAAGACACATATAGACATGCATGGTGTGGTTCCTGCCACTCACACACCCCTATCCCATGAAAAGCATGGCCAACAGCCCACTCTGCAAGGCCAGAACCTGGAGGCCATCCTTGGCACCTCCATTTCTCTCGAAGCCCTCACATCTCACCAGGAGCAGTCACCTTTTCCTCCTCGCGGCCTCTAGAATTCATCTTCTTTCCATCTCCACCAACATCACCTGCCATCAGCCCTCACCTGGACAGTCACCTTGGTTCCCTCCACACTGGGCTTCACATGAAGCCAGAGCAAGATTCCACTTCCTCACACCCAACCGAGTCACTACCTGCTTAAAATGCTTCAGTGGTGACTCATTTTTAGGATAAAGACCTTGAAGCATGTACTGGCCAATATGGCCCAGCACGATTGGGCCCTACCTGGCTCTCCCACCACATCACTCCTTGAGCCCTTCTTCCCTGCAACCCAGCTTCATTCTTTCACCTCCCACCTCAGGGCCTTTGCACGTGCTCTTGCTTCTCTCTGGATGGCTATTCTCTCCCCTTCCTTCCTTCATCAACTTAGTTAACCCAGTTTCACTTCCTCAGGCAAGTCTTCCTTGTTTCCTTGTGTCTGGACTAGGTGTCCCTACTAGTATTTGCTTCCTTCTTTCATTTCACCTCCCATTTATACTGGATGATAACTGTCTGTTCACTTTTTGCCCCAGGCGCACTGAAAACAGTGAGGGCACAGACTATATCTCATTCTCCACAGTTTCACTGACAACCAATATAGTTTCTGGTCAAATGGATAAATGAATGGGTGAGGCAATGGGGGAGGGACCTGCTTCTGTGAGCAGCAAAATAGTGACTCAAATGGCAGCAAATGCTCTGGAACAAGAAGAGATAGGAGAATAGCAGGGAGACCTGCAGCTGCCAGGGCCTTGTTACTGGATTTGCTTCTAGGAGTGAGAAAATTGTGGCATTAAAAGCTCAGCTTAGAATTCCCAACTCTGGCAGTGGACAAGCTGTGTAATCCTGGCTCACAACACTCCTCCACCAAACATCCCAGACCTTCCTGTCTCTGTCAGAGAAACAGGCAAAGGCCACAGATAACTTGGCCCCTCTGCACTCTCTTATTTCAGCCCCTTCTCCTTGCTATAGCCACATGGCCTCATTGCTGTTCTCTGAAAGCACCAAAAACATTCTTTTCCCAGGGCCTTTGCAATTGCTTTCTCTTGTGACTGGAGGTCTTTCCCCAGAGCTCCCTCACCTCTAAGAGAGCCCAAGTGCATGACATGAAATAGCTCTCAGCAATCTTCCTCCCCCTTATTTACTTTATTTTCTTCATATCTCTTATCACCACCTTACAAACCAGATATGTACTTATTTCTTAACTTATTGTCTTTCTCCTCACACTAGAACACAAGCTCCATGAGGACTGCCTACCACCACAGAGAGGCACTTACTTGCATTTGCTTAATGAGCCTTTCTAAATCTCAGTCCCCTTTCCAAGAAAATGAGTTAATGACATGAGAAAATGTATCACAAAGTTCTCAGCACCATTCCTGTCACTTAGTAGATGCTCAATGGATGGTAGACATTATTATTGTTGCATTACTCACTTGTCTTTATAAGACAAAGAGGCAACAAAAAGCTTTCTATGGGGTTTAATATCAGGGAAGATTCATTCATTCATTCAAGAAATACTTATTGAGTGCCTGCTACATGCCAGGTATTGCCCTAGATTCCGAGCCTCCATCAGGGAACAAAGCAGATACAGATGCTCAAAGAATTTGCATCCCAGCAGGAATTGGGTCCTCTGCACAAAATATATTTAGGAGTTATCCAGGTGAAGAACTTGGAGTCAGCAGCAGAAAGCCTTTACGGAGCCGACAACAAGACACATTCAAAGACTAGGTTGTCACAGGACCCTGGGAAGAGCACTCTGAGTTTAGGGAAGGGACCCAGTTAGAGGAGGCCAGTTTGAAACCTTTAGGAAGTGACTGCAGTCATCACGGTGAGAAATGGCGGGGCCTGACTCAGTGTCTGCAGTGTGGAGGGAATGAAGCGGGAGACAGACTTCTCAGGGCTGGACATGGATCGGGTGGGGGAGGTCAGGAGTGAAGGACAGCTCTGTTTGGAGCACCTGGGAGGGTGGTGGTGCTCTTCAGTGAGATGTGAAGTGGGGGAGGGTAAACTCTGGCATGTGAGTGGAAGGGGGAAGAGGTGGCCAGTCTGATTTCAGTCAGCAAGATTCCCCCTTCCCTTGAGCCTTAAAACTGCCAGGTGTCGGTCTCTTCCATGGGTGGTTCCACCAGCATTCTGCTGGTCATGCTGACAAAACATCCACCATTTTTTTTTTCGTTTTAATGTTTTAAAGGTTGAGGTGGATAGAGTGAAATGCATAAATCTTAGGTGTGCAGTTCTGTGAGTTCTGACAAATGTATACACACAAGTAACCCAAACCCCCATCAGGATGCAGAACATTTCCACCCTCAGGAAGTCCTGCAGCCCCTCCCACCTCCCCACACAGGACTCCCTGCTCCCACCTCCATCCCTGGAGGTCAGTGTTGTAGCGTCACCTACATGGAGCCAGAGGATGTGACACAATAAGAAGTATATGTTTGGTCTCTGCCCCTGGTTTTCCGGACAGAGAGCTCCTGAAACCCTTGGAATCTCCTGGGTGACAGGGCTGCGGGGAGCGTCCTTTGTTCTACTATTTGGCCTTTGATCCGAGTTCCTAAAGCCCTTGTGATTTCCTGGGGAATAGGAGCATCCTTTTTCCTAACACGGGGACTCCTGGTGGGCTCCTGAATGTCCTCTGGATGGAGGCTGTCCCAGCGGGACCAACCATGACTGGGAGCTTGGAACTTTCGGCCCCCATCTTCTGGGGCTGGAGATGGAGTTAATAACCGATCGATTGTGCCTGCATAATGAAGTCTCAGAAATTCCTCAAACTGTGGGGTGTGCAGAGCTTCTGGGCTGGTGGACACATGCACGTGCTGGGAGGGTGGTGCACCCAACCCCAGGGCCCGGTGGGACATCCTCTCCACACGGGGCTGCTGGCCCAGGACCCCTGTGGCCCTGCCTTGGGCTCCCCTGGTGCACGAGCGCACAACCCACTGGCAGGGCAAGCGGGACGTGCTAAGTTACCTCCCTGGAAGCAGCCCTCAGCACGAAAGGAAGGGCCCACCCAGGTGGGTACTTCAGCTTCCTGCCCCTCGATTGGGAACCCTGAGCACACATGCAGTTCCCAGCGGACAAAACCCCGGGTGCCCACAGCGTACATAGCTGACAGCACGTGCACTTCGGCCCCCCGCTTCCCGCACATCCCTTCGGACCTCCTCCAGAGAAATGCCTGCGCTCGAGTCCTTACAGTCCGTCCGCTGCTGGGGACTCGCAAGGCAGGGCAGTGAGCAGTGTGGGATGTGAGAAAGCGGCTGAACCTCTCGGGGCCTCATTGGGGAAAGAGACATGGGGCTGCCAATAGCATCTACCATTCAAAGTGGTCATGAGGAAATTCAACGAGTTAGTATTTCTAAAGCACTTAAAACAATACACGGCACATAGTTAGCACGTTTAAATCTAAGAACTCTAAGAAATTTTTTAGAAAAATCTCAGAAAACCCATTCTGAACATCCAGAATGGTGCCTTCCCTTCCCTGGCCCATGGGCAAGCCCACAATCAGAAGACAGTCCTTCAGCCCACTCCGACCTTCTGGAATGCACCACGCATGGCAGCTGCACCCCACACACCCCAACTGTGAAGTATGACCCCAACTCCAGCAGCTTGACTTTACCGTCACTCGGAATTTCTCCAGATCAGAGACTTGAAAATAATGTCTGAGTCATTCTAGGTGCTAATTGGTTATTGCACAGGAATTACAATTTCTCCCGTTCAAGGTCAACTGAAATTCCTCCGTGTGTCTGAGAACACCTCTCAGTCTGTTGGAAACGTGTTTTAGCCAACAGCTCTGGCCTGGAGCGATTATCACCCAGGTACACGCCAGCGCGCAGGCTCTTGCCGGGAGCACGGGACGAAACAGCCCGTTCCCTCACGCCAGGAACTGGCCCCGGCAAATGCTCTGCTCGCGCAGGAAACGTGTTCCTTGTGTTCCTTCTGCCCGAGGACAGAAGAAATCATTTTGCAAAGTTGCGACTTCATTGTGTATAAGGAAAGGCTGCCCTGGTGTTTTGTCACCCACAGTAACACACTTAACAGCAGCAAATAGACACGCCTTCAGGGGAGGGACAGAAACGGTCTTGGGAAGGACTGTTTATCAGTCAGTGTCCAGCTCTCAGCACGGCTGGGTGGGAAGTCCGTCCATCAGCGCCTCTGGCCTTGACCCAAGTGTACGGGAATGACCCTCAGTTACCAAGTTCAGCTTAAGCTCAAGGCCAGCATGCTGATTCCACTTGCTTCCAGGAAAGGATATCCCACTGGGTCAGGGCTGTCACCATCGTCCAGGTTTTGTGGAGGGCACAGGTTCAAGATATGGGTCAACACTCAAGTGCTGTTTCTGTCAAGTTCAGGGGAAAACTAACATGGCTCTCGAAATAAAAGGCAAATCCTTGCTATGGCCAGCACAGCCCTTCTGGACCTGCCCTCCCACTACAGCCCTGCCTCAGCTCACCTTCGGCTCTCCCTGCTCTCCCATAGTGCCTTGTGGCCGGTCTCATGCTGTGGCTGCCACTCCCTGCCACAGGGCCTTTGCACGTGCTACCCTCTCTGCACGGGATGCTTCCCCTCTTTACTTGGTAACTCCCGCTGCTGTTTCCTCAGGGACGCCAACCCCATGCTCCAGACAAGCTTACGTTCCCTCTACATCCTCAAAGTACCGTGGGCCTCTCGTCCAAAGAACGTTCCCTGGTTGTATTTTTTCATTTGCTTGTGAGGTTTTTGATAGATAGCAGTGATGGCGATCTGTTTTTCTAGCTATGCTGTACATTTTTTCAGTCAGTAAACCACCGCCGCTTATCTAAAATTGGTAAACATGAACAAAATCATGTTTTCCCTCATGGAACAACTTTAAAAACACTCAGTACACAAATAATGAAAGAACGCAGGCCCCTCTTCCCAAAACGCTTTCTCTGTGAAACTGGGATGTACCTACATCCAGTTGCTCTCAGGCAGATGAAAATAGGGTCTGCTTGGCCCCACAGAAGGGAAGGGAGTGTCGGAGGCAGAAGCAGAGCCAGCACTAGATCCCAAGGTCGGGGCCAAGGTCAGGGCTCGGACTCTTTGGAAGATACACCCACGGGTATTCCATGGAGTCACCAGCAGTCAGTTCCATTTTTCCACACGACAGCACCACCTGCCAATACACCCAACCCAGACTCTACCCCTCAGCAAACCCCCCAACTCAGCCGCCAGAACACATCACTGCTCTGTCACTGTGTTCACCATCACCCCCGCCCCCGACCACACCACCAAAACACCCGGCAGAGAACGAGCACTTTCCAGAAAAGTCTAAATCTGCAGGGGAGGCAGGGATGGCCTCACAAGGCAGGGACATTTAACTGAGGTCTTGAAGGGTACACGGGAGTGTTCTGGGGGACACGATGGCAAGGCCTGGAGTTAAGAAAGGCCGTGCTAGGAACAACGCCATGAATGGGACAGACATCACAGGCAGGCTCCCCCGGTTCTACGGAGGCAGAGAGACAGACAGCTCACCTCAAACTTCTGCCTCAGCTCCTCGTTGCCTTCGCCTCCTTCCGGCGGCACGGGCACATTGAAGTACTCGCCCTCCTCCTGGCTCAGCAGCTTAAACCTAAAGGGAGACAGGGCCAGGACAAATTCCATGACTCCACGCAGCAGGATCTCATCGGTAGAACCAGGGGAGGAGGCCTAGGTGAGCTCTACTCTAACAACATGCGGAGGGTTCTTGTTCTGGGGTGTGTGTGTGTGTGTGTAGCCAGGTGTGCTATGTATTTTTATTTTTGTAACTATTCTATGGACATCAGAAAAAGTACATTCTGTGTTTAAAGGATGTAACGTACTCTCGTTCTCTCCCCCCACAACTGTCTTAGTTATATCACTCCATACCGCAAGTTGGCGCCTACTGTTTGCCCGCGGGGTGATTTCTGTTCTGGAAGCTGCTCTGAAGCTCTCCGTGCCCGCGTTCCTGTCCCTGTCCCAGCACTGCGGTGCCCCCTTCTTTCACGCACGCTGCAGCGTGCTGCCCGGGCACTGGGCACTCGCATGGCTGTGCCCCAAAGTGCTCGGACTCAAGAGAAACAAACGCCTTCCGTGGCCAGAGACACGAGTCCTAGAGTCGGCCTCCGTCTCTGCCTGAGTCGCACTTCTGCCTTTGCCTCCAGGATACCCCTGGGCAAGCTGGCTAGGCCCCCTGAGGCTTGAGTTTTCTCATCTTTAAAGGGAATGAAAGCCTCTTTTTCATAGGATCATTGTGAAGCCAAGATATGATGATGCATGAAAAACGGGCAGAGTCCTGGCACTTAGCACGTGTTCAATAAAAGGCACATCATCACCATCACGGATAGTAATGTCATTAAATAAACTCGATGCTTCCATTTTCCCTGACCACCAAGACGCGTTCCCCAGTCGGCGAGAGGAGAGCGAGGCGAGGAAGGAAAGGGCGTCGGCAGGCATTCGAGTCAGGAGGGAGAGAGCCCCAAACGCCTCGCTCCGCAAGAGGCCTCCTAACCACGATTGGCATCATTCAACCCCTTTCTCCACAGTCCCTTTCTCCATTCACTAATCACCCCAGGCAGCTTCTACACATAAGGGCTCGGTGAGTCCAGGCAGAGGTGACCAGCCGGGCCTCCACATTTAATATCCAATTCTCCCCTTCACAGTTCCCACTGGAATTCCAAAAGGAACGCAAAAGAGAGAACATCTGTGTCTTTGCCAGAAGTCACACACGAAGGGTGCCCCGCACACAGCAAGGATTCTGGGAATCTCCACAAAGTAAAGTCACAGGACGAGGCATGGAGGGGGGTTTGGCACACTTTGTTCACCTTCGTGGATCTCGATAAATCTGGATATTATCAACTAATGATTTTCACTACATTATCTCTTTTTTAATAATAAATTCACTTTGAAAGGACACTTGATCTCTCTTATACATAAGGCCAACGTAACTTGTTACAAGGACCAGGTAATGTAAAAATATACACATATCAACTCAATGGTGCCCAAGTCTAAGTAGATGGTAGAACCGAAGGCTCTGCGCCCAGTGCCGCCTCCTTGTTAAAGCAGGAGGCGAGCGGCACCCAGCGGTGACATCCCTGCCTCCAGCGTGGCCACCCCGTCCGTCACTTAGCGGCCGTCCTAGTGGCCAGAGCGGCTGTCCCAGGACCCCAGGGCTTATATTCAAGTCACCCTTGTTTTACCTAAGAGTGGCCCCAAAGCCTAGGAGGCGTGAAGCTGGCATTGGATACGTCAAGAGAAGCCATGGGTGCTTCCTGTAGTGAACAGGTGTGTGTGTGGGAGAAACATGGCCTGTGCGGGTGCGGTACCATCAGGAGAGCAGTGGGGTCCACCCACGGATAAGAGGGGCTACTGTGGAAGCCGCTGGGAAGGGAATTAACACTCCACCTGCAGACCTTGCTTAAGCAACAACAGCTAGAACGCAACCTGTCAGAACATGGAGGAAATCTCTTCCCTCCAATGCCTGTTCGTTGTTTTTAAAGCTCGGAAGAAGTTAAGAGAGGAAAAACACATTAGCAAAATGTTCAGCTGAAATTCAAAGAGCACAACACAAACCTACAGGAAGGAGACAAAGAAGCGCAGACTTGATACACAAATCCCAGAGCCGATTCTCTGGGGGGAAACAACAATAAAACAGACGAACCTCTGGAAAAGAAGGGGAAGCAAGGCGACAGCATAAATAAAAGGAGGAACGGAGAGGAGAACCGGGCTCAGACAGAGCTGACGGCAAGGCAGCGGGGCCTGAGGCTGGCGCCCGCCGGGAGCCCCAGCTGCTCTCCGCCCCAGCCTCAGAGCAGCACGCAGCACCACTGGGAGAGCCCACAGCCTCAGACCCGGGCGTGACTTACTCCAGACCACAGAGAGTTAAAAGAATTCCTGGAACAAGAACCCACATTCCTAGAATTCAGTACATTTGAGCTAAAACAGAATCAGAGATGTTTTGGACCTGAATCTGAAGAGGGCATTCATCTGCAAAATCTGAAGAGGGCTTTTATTCTGCAAAAGGTCCCTCCCAACTACAATGTCATCGACTCCACAGCTTTCCTAAAAGGTGGAGGGGGCGGGGCTGTAATTACCCTGGAGAGCGGAGTCCTATCTGCTGAGAGGGCCAGGGCAGAGAGCTGACACGACTCCGACTCCGAGTCCCACAGCACCCCTCCCACTAGGAGGCTCTGTGGTCCGGCTCTGCCCCTGTGGCAGGAGGCAGGGTGCATGTGCTTGTGCTTAGGCTCTGCCTGCCATGACCTGGGCCGAACCCCAGCCCTGTCACTTCTGAGCTGTGTGCCCCCCACACCCCCACACCTTACTCTGATCCCAGGAACAGTGCTCCGCCCAGAGCGGCTGGAGAATTCACAGACCATGCAGGTGTACACATGTACACACTGGGACGTAGTCCTGACGTGCTGTCCCTCACCATGAAGCCATTTGTCCTCCCTGCACTCTGCTGTGGGGCCAGGAGGGCGGCGGTACCTGTGGGCACAGCCTGCCCTCTGGGGCCCAGAGAACCCTGGGAAGGAGAAGGGTGAGGGTGGGGGGAAAGCAGGAGCCTACAGGGAGGGCCAGAGAGAGCAGCTGCGGGTGGGGAAAGGTAGAGGGCTCTCCACGCAGGAGACTCCGACAGGAGGGGTAGGATGTGCTGAGGGGGTGCGCAGCCTGGCGGTGGCCTGGGGGTGGGACAAAGAGGACAATGTGGGGGGACCTCCCAGAGGCGAAGAGCAGGAGCTGGGACTCCAGCGTGAAGCCAGATGGGGCCCCACAGCTGCACAGCCCACCCATCCCCCCGCCCCGAGCTCACATGTAGTATAGGGGCTCTCTGCACATCTGGTCACCGCTCATCCGTGTGACTCCCGATCTGGCGAGTGGTCAGCCTAGTGCCAGCGACCCAGTGAGACGGTGCGGCGGTGGCTGCTGCTGCTGCAATAATCATCGTCTCCCAGTGTCTTCTCTCCGTCTCCCCAGACCCCCGGGTCCCATGCCCTTCCTCTGCCCTCTCTAGGCCTGACTTAAGGAGGAGGGACACGGAATCTGGGAGTGGTCACGGGGCAGTGTGCAAAGGTAACTCATCCATCTGTTAAGAACAATGATCCAAAACTTGGGGGAAAGGCAAGAAGATGACGGTGTGACCTGTTAATATCCTGCTGGAGCATTTTCTAATGAGCCCCTCCTCCCTCACAGCACTATCACCTGCTCCAACCCAGTGGGGCCCAGACGGCCCAGCTCTGCAGAGACGATGCTAACTTAGAGCGGGTGAGATTCGGTCCGCTGTCCCCAGGTCGACACCTGCTCAGCGGCCGTTTCCTCCGACTCCCGGTCATGTCAGCCTTCCTCCTACGGACACACACCTGCGGCCAGCGGCCCCCTCTCCTGGTTTCCTGGTGAGCTAGGGGAGCCCTGGCCGATTCTCCTTTGTGAGAATGGTGTCTTTAACCATTTGTGCATTGTGCTTCCAGGCACCTGATTCTTTTTTCTTTTTTGCCCTGGGCTCTGTCCTCTTGGCTTGTCTGCTCATGCCGTGATTCGCTCTCTAACTTCCTCCTCAAGGCCTCCCCCTCCGGAAGCCAGCTCCGCAGAGCACGTCTGTCCACATTCAGGTACTAGTACCTCCAGTGACAGACCGAGTGGACACGCAGGGCGAGTTTGAAGAAGCCCCTGGTCAGTAGGAGGAGAGACAGGCATTTGCAAGGTGGTCCCGGTGATCCAGTCTCTTTCTTACTACACCAGTTTGATTTGGACTGACTTTCACTTGTAACTGAAAAGGCCCCGAGACCACTGAGAAATGTTAAAATTCATTGTGCTGCAAGGCACCTGATTCTTTTTTCTTTTTTGCCCTGGGCTCTGTCCTCTTGGCTTGTCTGCTCATGCCGTGATTCACTCTCTAACTTCCTCCTCAAGGCCTCCCCCTCCGGAGGCCAGCTCCGCGGAGCACGTCTGCCCACACTCAGGTACTAGTACCTCCAGCGACAGACGGAGTGGACACGCAGGGCGAGTTTGAAGAAGCCCCTGGTCAGTAGGAGGAGAGACAGGCATTTGCAAGGTGGTCCCGGTGATCCGGTCTCTTTCTTGCTACACCAGTTTGATTTGGACTGACTTTCACTTGTAACTGAAAAGGCCCCGAGACCACTGAGAAATGCGAGAATTTCTCTTCCAGAAGCCAGAGCTGCCACGACCACTCTCCCAAACAGACAGCGCCAGTGGGACCTCCTTGCTGGGAACACTGGGCAAGGAGTTTCTGCCTGAGGAAGGGACCAGGGCAAAAGCTCAGACAAAGGAGACATGCTACTGCCTGGCCAGCCAGCGCCAGCGTGGCCACAGTCCCGGGAAGGAGACTTCTAAAGAGGCCCACATCTGGCAGTGGTGCACACGTCTTCGGGGTAAATTGTGAGAGCTGCTTTCTAGCCATGGGGCCAGTTAGGCCACATAACTGTGCGACGTGGGGCTGGTGTAAAACAATAGGGAGTGGTGGGGACTGTGACAAATACAAAATCCTGTCTAAGGGACATGAACTCTTCCACTGTTTTCATTCGATTGGGCCCAGTGTACCCAGATTTTTCTGGTTTTTCAAGACTTAAGTCCAGATTTTTATGGGAAGTCCTGACTTTTAAAATATTGGCAATTAATTCTTTTTCGTTCTTTTCAGCACGAGGACCAAATAAAACGTATCAGTGAGGCCAGTCCAGTCTACCAGCCTTCACTCTG